CCCAAAACAAGGCGCTTAAAATGTATATAGGCATTTCATGGGAGAGATTTTTTTTTTTTTTTTTTTTTTTTTTTTTTTCAAAAAAAGGGCCTGAGCAGTGGCCAAAGCAAACAGCTGTTGGAAGAGTTTTTATCCCGGAAATAATCTCAGCAATGAAGCTGTTTGTCTGATTCCTGGCTATTTTTCACTGCTGACAAGCGTGAGCTATGGGGCTTCGTTCTCCTGTTGGTCCCATGAAATCAGGTTAAAGTCGTGCACAGCATGGCTAGGAACAGGCGCTGAATCACAGTGCGGGCAACGAGTGTCTGCACTATGGAAAAGCCACGCAGAAACACGGAGCAGGATATAGGAAAATCACAAGCATTGTTAGAAGATTTAGTCAATACTGCTTTTCAGAGTAGGGTTTTTTTTTTTTTTTCTGTCTTGGTTGTGGTGCTAACGTCATCGATTCAACTTTAACACTTCCCTCTCTACAAACCCTGAAAGCCCCACAAAAGTCCATGTCCAATGCTTTGTTTCTGCTTGTTGTTCACGGACGCTCTCTTGTTGGCAACCTCGTACTGGGAAATACTGGGCAGAGAGGCAGAGCAAGCCTTAAAATGAGTCACAACACACGCTACAAATCGCTGAGCAAAATAAATGCCTCGTCCAAAGGACAACTGCAACCTCTTTCAAGCACCTAGAGCAGGGCAACCAGTTTGAAAGTGTGATACGAGGGAAAAAATCTGCAAAAATGCCATGCCATTCAGCTCCAATGGAAATATATAACCCATGATTATGGACACCACTATTTCTCTTATCTGTTCCAAAACAAAACATAAAAAGGATGACCTGAACCTATTCCAACTCTGATATCTTGATCGCTGTTATCTGTGCTCCACCTGAACAATATGCACTATTAAGATACAAACCCAAGAAAACGTATGTGACTTCTGGACTAGTAAAAGTTTGAAAAATAGATTTTCAAAGAAAACAGAGAAAACCAGGATCTGGGAAAAAAAAAAAGTAGATCTTCCACCTTCTTTTTGAGAAGAGTATTTTGTAGATTAAAATTGTAAAGCAAAATATTACTGTCTTTCATATATGCGAGATCATAATGACATAGTCAAAAATCATCTCTCAGGGCTGGATATCTTCTCCTCTCTCTACCTATCTACTCCTGGTTTCACCACCATTAGTGGTGGCAGCAATGGGCTTTGAGTAGGACTGTACAAAGGTAAATATTCTGCATTTGACACAAGTTTAGCCAACACATTGCCCCACACTGCCCCAGCGAGTGCAATACTCTTGTGCAGTGTAACAGGTCTGGTCCTGTGCCGAGCCCAAGCCTCCTGGTGAAGCCTGAAGTTGTCCTCAAGCAGCAGAAAGCTCTGTGAACGTGTCAGGGAGTTTAGGTTTCTTTGACACAACTGGCAATAGTTAACACTTCAGAAAGGCACATATGCAAAGGCTGAACTGGACCACAAGAAGAGAGGGATTTATTTCTTGCAACGTTTGGGAGATGAAAACTCCCCCTGAGGACTGCTGACCAATGATCAAGACAAAGAACAAACTAGAAGCATGAGATAGATACTTTCTTAAACAGAGCTTTGCCAGAAAATGCAATTGAATCTTATTACTTCTCAGGGTTATAATTTTGAAAAGTAATGTATTATGGTAATCTTGCTGTTCTTCTTCTGAATAAGGATGATGAGGTCATGATACCCACAGTCTCTTTTGCAACCCATTTTCCCAACACAGAAACCCTAAAAATAATAAGTAAGCAAGCTTACAAGGAGGGAGTCATCTGTAATGTATAACCCGCATGGTTTGGAAACAATGATGCGAAGCCAGTGTCACTCTTTCAAAGTAATTATTACTCCTTCAAAATAATTATTAATTCGATTATGACTGTTAAGCTACTACCAGGCAGCTGAGAGCGACCTCAGAACTCCCTTTTGCCAGGCCTTTAAAGCAATTTAACCCAGAAGTGCTATGGTCTACAGAAGGTACAAAGAAGAAGATATAAATTATGTGGTGGAATTGGGAAAAGTAGTGGCAGAAAAATGTAACTCGTGTTGAATGTGGAGCTTGTGAAGAATATCAGGGGGAGAGACTATTTAACAGCCAGCTTCAGCAATGCTTTATTGTAAGCAGTGTAACACAGGATAAAGCGCCTGTGGATGAAGTGCACGAACCAGCAGCAGCAGAAGGCACCACCAGCGAAGCCCAGAAGGCAGGGGACACCTTCTAAAGAAGAAGACAGCTACACAGGCCAGGGAAAGCATGTGAGCATGCTGAGAAGGAGGGAAAGGATGGAGCTGGAAGCTGCAAAGAAGGGTGCTGTGTTAGACCTTGCATTGGCAATGCGAGTTAGGCAGCACTGTCCTCAATGGATCCGAGGTGAGGAGCACCCCAGGCACCAAGCAGGTCTCCCAGGAAGAACTGCTGGAGAATTCCACCCAAAGAATGATGTGTTACAGGAAAAAACAGAGTGCTATAAGGAAGCTACAAGACAGCTGAGCTGTGAAAACATGGGGAGGAGAGAGGGAGCAGCCCTTCAAGTGGGATGTCAGATAAGAGAGCAAAGGAGGAAGGAGAGACTAAACCCAGGAAAACAGGAATGAGAAGGAATGACGATAGTTGAGATATGCATGACTAGCACATTTATTTAAAAGAAACCTATAATATGGGGCTACATGAAACGTACGATGACAGGACGAAGAAAGCAATGAGTAGAAGGAGACTACAGGGAAACAAGGGATAAATCTTCACTTCCTTATGTGAAACTCACAGAAACATACCTGAAAATGGATGACGAAGGAAAAAAAGAACAGGTCTAGCTAAACACACTGCATGAAAAAGTCGAATTTTGACTTATCAACTTTAGCTGCTGTAGCTCAAGCCAGATGATCCATCTGCAGGACACAGGAAGATGAGCACCAACCATTGCTTAAGCTCTGGCAAAGGGGAGGATTTGAAGAAGATGCTTCGCAGGAAAAATTAGAGTTATGAGGAAACCAAGAGATAACTGAGCTGTAAAAACAAAGGGAGGTAAACACTTTAAATGAAACGTTAGATAAGAAAGTAAAAGAGGAAGGGCAGACCAAGAATGGAAGTCCTAGGAGATCAAAAAAGGGAGCACTAGGCAAAGGGCAAGACACAGTTCGCAGAAGCCTTGTCAGCAGGAGTTGCAGTCCCAATGAAATACTGAAGGACAGACAATTTTTTAATCTAAAAATTATCAAAATTATCAAAAATGACGACAATGCGGCTGTAAAGCACACATTTGAAACCATGAAGCAATCAGCGTGTCTTTTAGAGAAATTGAGATAGATAAATCTATCTCAATAGTATCTCAATAGTTTTAGGTATCTCAATAGATACCTAAAAATGTGAGGCACATACTTATTCAGTAATTCCACCTCAGAGAAAAAAAAAAAGTTATATTTATTTCATTTAACAACAGTAAGCACCTCTGAAGTTCATATAACCTCAAATAAAGAAGATATCTGTGAGTTGCACTGACTGTCTATGGTGAATTTTTGTTCTACAGATTCAACAGAAACAATCACCCGGAGCACCAGTTTCCCTTCCCTTCATCACCTCTGATGTCAGCGCCAGTGGGCTGAGGGCTGCTCCTCTTCTGAACCCCCAGCCCTCAGACAAACTGCTTGCATGAGCCGGACAGACAGCTGGCCGGGTCTCCCAGACCACAGGAAATATCAGGAGAGGGGACACCTGCCTCCAAAGCGGTGCCAAGAGATTTGTTTGCTCCTTCTGCGCTATGATCTTCCACGAGGAAGCAGTCGCATGTGGCCAGGGTCAAACAGGAAATGTCAGGGGGTGCAGAAACTGCGGAGGCCTCTTCGGAGCCGCTTCCCTCCTCGCTCATCCCGCTGGCGGAACAGCTGTGTCTGCAGCTCCCCAGGAGCCAGGCCAACCTCGGAGCTGTGCCGAGGCAGCCCCGCTCTGCTGCACATACTTGGTTCAGGTCGAGCAGAAAGTTTTCTTCCCACTGTAAACAGCTGGGGACAGAGAGCCCTTGGAAGAAATTACAGTGCTTTTTCGAAGGCAAGTAGCGCTCTGAAGGTATTTGAGAGGCTTTTATCAGGGTTTATTCAATAAACTCAGGTAAGCCAGGTTTAAATTTCTTAATACATGAATGCTGACCTAAAAATTCAAGCGTGCCATGGGCAGGTTTG